CTTGCGTTGAGTCGCCTTAAGTTGATATTCGTATTGGGATTTGTTGTCGTATTGGGATTTTGAGTCGCAATCTTTTTTCTTTACTTTAGTCCTCCCCGCGTCGCACCTCGTGACACACATGTCCAAAAAACCAAATTGAGTTGCGAAACTGTTTAATTTAGCAGCGAGTCCAATTTTTTGTTCGCTTTTTATTTTTATTTATTTTTTCCATTCTGCTTTTCATCGTAGTTATTTATTTTGAGACATTCTTTGAGACTGAGGTCTCTCGACGTGTCTCGGTCAGCGAATCGGTGTTTACGATTTATTTAGCCCGACAGCTGACACAACCAGAGAGTGTGTGAGAGATAGAGAGAGAGAGAGAGAGAGAGAGAGACACACGCACAGCTCTGCTTGGAGCCACACGCGGAGCCGTGGCTAAATTGAATTTGGCCTATACCAAGTAAACATTATTTGAGTTGCATTTTTTTTTTTCTTTATTGTAAATCAACTTTTCAATTTGCTGCTGACACAGTTTCCAAGTCGGGGCCCCAGCACCAACACCAACACCAGCCCCAGCCCCAGCCCCAGTCTCCGTCTCAGTCTCAGCTTAGGCATTGCTGCACCTGAGCAAGATCTTTGCAGTATAATAATAAATTGCATTTCTGTAGTATCCACAAAGGCTTGTTACCCATTGAGAATTCCGTGGCTCAAGTGCTGGCCTGCATGGAACTTGACTTTAGACAAATATGTATCTAAAAGTAGCCAGCTGATGCTGTGTTGCTGTTGTAGTTGTTGTTGTTGTTGTAGTTAGTGTATTGCGGTTTTGCATTTTAAGCTGCCTGGGAAACACTTGACAGCCAGCGGCTAACGCAAATTTAGCTGTTAAATTTTGTTCACAAAATACATTTTGATAAATGACTCGACGTTTTTACATTATAGAAAAGAAGAAGAGAAAAGTAACACATAAATTTAGGGTTTTTGTTTCAGTATTTTGGTTTTTCTTTTTTTTTTTCTTTTTTTGAGTTAGTTGATGAACTGCCTGGGCTTATCCCATTGTCTGATGCGCTGTGATACGTTTAGCCTGAAACTCAAATAAATAAATTCAAAACGCTTACAAATTATACGATCTGATGATCAATCATTTTTATATCTGTTTCATTCGTCTAGTGGCAAAAAGTTTTCATTTGCTCAAAGGTGGCAAAAATAGCTAAGGTATTTAAAATTTATAAGCGTCAGCCATTCTATAAATATTGTTTTCAATGCCCATTGTTAGACGCAATGTGCTAAAGATTTATTGGCATTCCATACAAATGGATGACGTTGAATTCTAATTAGTCTGGGCACCGCTTGCTTTTGAATATATTTCAACTGAAGGTCAACTAGAATATAAACTAAATAGTTACAAATCTTTTTTAGTACTCAAAATGTTTGCTCTGTTTGCCACGCTTGAACTGAAAGAGATTTCATGACCAATTCAATTTGTGCATTTCCAGTTGGAAAGCATTACAATATATCACACATTAGGCTCAGGTTCTATGATCTCTCGATAGATTTCAGGATCCATTTTCATGATCTCTCCATAGATTTCAAGATCATATGAAAATGATATAGATTTTAAGATAAGTATTATCATACAGTATATATTATTAAATGATATCTTGACAGATTTAAGAATCTATTTTCATATGATATAGATTATACATCACATTAACGATCTATTGAAAAAGATTTTAAGATATTCTGTCAAGTACCCATTACAATTAGAAATATTATCATACAGTACATCCAAATTCAATGTATTGAAAAATTTCACGATCTATTTTCATATGATATAGATTTTACATTACATCCAAGTTCTATACCTCAACACAGTTAGGGATTTATTTTCATATGAAAGAGATTTTATGAAAAATTCAAATTAGGCTTTTCCAATTACCCTCACTATTTCAAATATTATCATACATTACATCTAGGTTCTATGATATCTCGATAGATACAATTTGCAACCAAGTTTCTAAATCCGTCATCTTCCGTGCAGACAAATATTTCCTGATGCAAAATTGTGACAAATTTATGTAAAATCTTTCTATTTATGTATAGCTAAGCCTTATATAATCGCACATTTTGGGCGCCATTTACCTCTCCTACAAAGTGCGCTCCTGTTATTGTCTGTCATCAAATTGAAATTGAAATTGAAATTACGCGCACAAGCAACTGTCCAAGTGGCGAGCGCTTCCTGATTACGTTTTTTGCATTTTGTGTACACCTTAAAGTCGCAACAAATTGTCGCTTATTCACAATTTATTTGTGTTTTACTTTTTTGTTATTTAGTTGGCGTCTTTAACTCGCTGCGCGCTCACGCACAAAATAAATAAATAGCTAAATAAAAGGTTTGCACTTATGAGTCTTGGATCGGGAAAAAAAGTAGGAAACAAAGCAAACAGCACCCATAAGCGATAATGGATAATGGATAGTGGTCTAGGGTCTAGGGGCGTCCCCAGTTGCAGCCAAATAATTACTTACTTTTGTTGGGCTTTTCTTGCAAATTCAGCGCGCTTTCTTTGCCTCTTTCCAGCATGTTTTTACGTGTACATAAATTACGTAGATATTGTAATTTTTTCTTTCCTGCAGAGTGAAAACTACGATGTCATTGGCCTGAGGGGGGCTCAAGTCTGGGTTCAGTAGCTCGACTACTGGGCTTTCTCAAATATGTCTGTCTTTCTCTGTATGCGTGTGTGTGTGTGTGTGTGTGTGTGTGCAGATGTTCATGAATGAGTGGGTCGCCCGCATATTTGACAATGGTCTGTCCGAGCTTATGGCAAAAGTGAAAGCACCAGACCTTTGGGCAAATGTCATAAAATAAGAAAAAAGCAAAACAAAACGAAAATTTTTATCGGCTTGGCCAGCAGCAGAAACACCTGCACAACTTCAAGGTCGTTGCATTACCATAGACAACTTGGCAGCACGACTAACGTTGCCATTGCCGTTGGCCATTTCCTGTTGTAAAGTCAGACTTGGCTAGCGACAGTTGAGTTGAACTCTATCAGAGCCATTTATCATTGGCCTGGCTAAAGGTTATAATTGACTTATTGAACTTTTATAATTCAATAAGCTATATATATATATTTAAAGTTCATACTAGATTGCGACTGTCTGATATAGAGAAGAGCTGGATTCTATCCACAATAAAGTGGATTTGCACGAGGAATTCAAATGAAATCTAGCTATGATTATCTACGGCATATTTGCGGCTAAAATTAAACTGTCAAGTGTTGGCATTTCAGCTGTTGCCAATTACTACATTTATGAAGTGTTTTCAATAACAAATTAAGATTACTTACCGAATCGCCTTTAATCACGAGACATCTTCAAACAAGTATCTGCAATTGGCTAAAGCTGTTTATAGCTTATAAAATCACTGCAAAAGCACAATTACAATTCCCAGATAAGATAGAGCTCTTAACATAATAGATTCTGTCGGCAGTTGTAGATTGCAGTTGACCACACGAGCCAGAGTAGTAAACAGGCCTGAAGTGCGCAGACTACATACACAATACAAGAACCGATTGCAGTCACATGATGAGCTCACAGTCTATAAATAACTGCACGAGTTGTTTTTGTTTATTTCAATATTATTTTGCTCTTTTTTTCGGCTGCCTTATCTAAGCTAATAATAATAGCCCCGAATTTAATCTAGAACCGTGCAGAAATAAATATCCATGCAGCTGTCTTACGGCCAATTCAAGCTATTATGCGAAATGCGGAATCATTGTGCCAAAACGCGATTATCTCAGATTGCAATATTAATCAAGTTTAATTAAGACAATGGGAATGGGCAGGCATCTGTCTCCTGCAGCCCTTTAGTTGCACTGCCGGCACAGCTAATTGCCAGGCAATTAAAGGCCAATTGTAATACACATCAGCCGGCTACTATGTCGACTACAGACGTCATCTGTTTTAGCTCTATAATTAGCCATTTAATACGCGCAGCTAATGGCTTTGATAGTTTCGCCTTTGAGTGTTTTTCAGCTGCAATTTTAGCCAAATAATGTGAAAAAACAACGCACAAAGGAAACTGAAAACACACCAAAACAAACACACACACTCACACATGCACACACATACACTTGGATAGCACTTTGAGAAAAACAAGTTAGTTCAGCAATACCATAAATATTTGCATATTGAGCTCTTATAACAGTCTATTACATTCCAACCTGTTCAGTTTGGCATCAATACGAAAATATTACACGCTGCAGCTGGGTGAACCCGACTAGACGATGCTCTACTAGCATAAAATGGCGGAAGTAATTATTTCCCAAAACACGTGTTTATTAAAATAATAACTATTAATACATAGTATATATAGAAATTGGTAAAGAGATTTGGAAAATTGTATTAGATTGTATTATTGTAACCATATAGCTAGCTCCCAGCTCTTAGTTCTGTCAAAGTCAGTTATATATAGGAGATTCATAGGTATATTTCAGATTTGTACATATATTACTACATATATTACTACAACTTCCCATTCGTATAGGGCATATGGAAACAATGGATGTAAAACACAACAACAACAACAACAACAACAATTTAGCTGCTAGTTAAGATGTTAATTATGCGGCAATTAAGGTGCTATAATAAAATTGACACTTTTCTGTTGCAGTTACACACAAAACAATTTTAATTAATGTGAGTTACTTTGGGGTGTATTAACAGAGCTGCTTAAATGTGTTAATAGCTTGAACTTAAAGTGTATATGTGTGTATATGAATTGTAAGTGGACTTATATGGAAGGTGACACGTAAAGAAAATACTAGAAGAGCTTTGCTTAACTCGCTTTCCACCTATCTCTCTCCTTCTCTGTCTCTATCTCTCTCTTTATATAAAGAAGTCAGCTGTACTAAATCTATAATCCACTTAAGAATTGCATAAATCGTTTGAGTAGTCAAGTGGATGCGCTCGGACAAATCCTGTTTGCTTAATGCTAATGATTATCTTCTTCTTCTTCTTCATTGCAGCTCTGTAACATGTCACAATCTAACGGATATTGAGCAGCAGCTGCAGCAGCAGCTTTAACCACAATAACAACAACAACAACTACTACGAAGCACACATCATGGCAACCAATAGCAACAACAACAGCAAAGCGATGACACCCACCGTCGAGTCGCTGGAGAGTCGCGATGAAGTCGACTTCATAGTCGCCACACACAACAACAACAATAACAACAACAACGAATATGAGGATTTACGCAGCGCCAGTGGCGTAGCGATCAGCGCCAAAGGAACAAACACAAACACAACAGCAACAGTCACACCAAACAATGAACCAAATGTCACCAACAACAACAGCAACAGCAGCAACAACAATTGCAACAGCAACACCTTGAAAAAGTCCAAGGAACGTCGCACACTCTTCAGCTTTGGCAGCAGCAAAAAGCAGAGTTTGGCCAACAAGTCATCGAGCAGCAGTCCAGTTCCCGCCCAAGGCACTGACGCCACGCCCCCGAAGCCAACGGGCAGTGGCAGCCTGTTGCTGCCGCCCACGCCGGCAGTGCCCATCGGCACACCGCCGCGCCAGCACAAGTTCGTCAAGAGCAGCAGCATTGCCCGGCTGCTGGGCAACACGTACAACGCGCGCAAGTTCGAGCGCGAGGAGCAGAAGCGTCTGGCGAATGAGGCGAGCGGCAAGTTCCATACGTTCAGCGGCCGGCGTCGGAGCGGACCGGAGCGTCCGTATCTGGAGCGCTTCAAGCGCATGTCCAAGGAGGATGGCGACATTGCCGGCGACGATGAGACGGTGCAGGTGACCAATGTGGTTACACTCACCACAGATTCGCGCGACTTGCAGTACGGCAGTCGGCAGGAGCATGTCGGACGCGCCGAGGATCAGCTGAGCGCGAAGGCCATGCGCACACTGACCCGTGGACTCGGCAAGCTCTGGTGGAAGCGCACACACAGCGTGGACATCAGCACACCGGATCCTGAGTACAAGGTGTCCTATCTGGGCAACGTGCTCACCGGCTGGGCCAAGGGTGAGTACCAAGAGATCTGCTTTGATATCTGTGAAGCATTTAACTTATTCTCCACTGTCTTCAGCAGGCGAGGGCTGCGTGGAGAAGCAACTGAACACACTGTGGCGCAACTACACCCAGCACACCAAGCCGGATGTGATAATGCGGATGAAGGTGTGCGCCTCCGGGCTGAAGGCCACCACACGGCAGCACGGCCTCACCGAGTACTGGTCGAATCGCATCACCTACTGCTGTGCGCCCAAGAACTATCCGCGCGTCTTCTGCTGGATCTACAGGCACGAGGGCAGGAAGCTGAAGCACGAGCTGCGCTGCCATGCAGTGCTCTGCAGCAAGGAGAAGATTGCCCAGGACATATGCGACACACTGCGGGTGAGTGGACATCTCATATACATCTGATTGCACCTGCTGAAACGTTTACTTTGCTCACCTTGCAGGAAAATCTGGAGAGCGCATTGCGTGAATTTAAGCGCGAGAAAATTCTGAAACAAAATGCGCGTCTCAGCCTGGCGAATGCCGTGTACGACAATCCCAGCTTGCCCAAGCGGAAGATCATGCTGAGCGTGGGTGGCAACAACTACAGGCCGCCCCTGGAACGCTCCAAGTCGGCGCCCAAGCTGATGGCCATCGAGGAGGCCATCGGCGAGGAGGAGGGCGACGAGATCGAGGACACCAATGAGCCCGAAATGATGCCCTGCTGTCAGCGCGACTCACTGTACCCGGCCATGACGCTGGGCAGGCGGCGCTGCCGTCGCGGTCATTCCATACGGCGCACAGGCAAAATCCAGGCGGCGGCCAGCTGCTGCTCTCATCAAATAGAGCCGATGCTGGAGAGCCGGGAGCCGGCAAGCAGCACGAACACCAGCAGTCTCACGGCTCCGGCTGCCGCCGCTGGCAATGATGGCTCCGACTCGGACGAGTTCGAGAAGCTGCTCAAGTTCGACACGACGTTAAGCAACGAGCTGCTGCCGTACTTTGACATGCAGCTGCACAAGAACAGCAGCCAGAGCATGGGCAGCCTGAGCGAGCTGCAGGTGGAGCCCGTGGAGCTTGATGAGGAGGAGGAGGAGGAAGAGGAGGCGGAACCGCACAGCTTGCTGCCCACCATCAACAGCGATCCCAGTGCCGATCCGCAGGCGGACTTCGACCACGACGATGTGGTTCATCTGCGCCGCAGCGGCGTCTGCAGCGACGGCGAGGAGGACTTCCTGGACGATGCGGACGATCATTACTTTCGGCAGGCGGCCATGCTCACAATGCTGCACCGCAGCTCGATGCGCAAACGGAACAGTGACCAGACCAGCCTTCAGTATCGCCACCAGCCGCAGTCCTCCATCTCGTCCAATGCCTCCAGCTCAACGACAGCCAGTGGCATAGCGCCAATGGGGGCAGCTGGCGGCCAGCAGTGCTTGGCGAGTCCGGACAGCGACGAGGGCTCCATTTCCAGCGGCTGCGAGACGGCCAGCACAGTTACCAATGCCAACCAGGAGGAGTACAACAAGCCTCAGGGCAGCAACGTGCAGCAGCAGGTGCTTGAGCAGATGCTGCTCTACCAAAGACTGGAGGAGTCGAAGCGCCGTCAGCAGCTGCGCCACAATAGCGACGCCACCAACTACAGCAGCTCCAGCAGCATCACCCTGAAGCCCGCAGAGTCAGTCAGCTGCCTGGAAGAGTCGGACCCGAAACAGCCAGCGGATGCCGGCAGCGTTTCGGATGACGACTCCGAGTGCAGCGACGAGAGCGGCTACGTTGAGTTCCAGGAGAAGGAGCGCGTTCAGGCAATTGCTGGCGCCGTCGCCATGGCGGCGTCTGTCAAGCCCCAGCTGCCGCCCAAACCGGCGCCGCGGCGCTCGCTCAGCATCGGCCAGGCCACGGGAACGGGGACACCGGTCTGAGTGATCGACGTGCCTCTAAACAGGGTTCTCCACATTGTTATTTCTGCGCACGCGTCAGCACAAGGGCTAGAGAGAAGTGCAAGAAATTGAAGTATCTATTGTAGTCGTAGTCCTAGGTTAACTGTTAAGCTGTTTACCGCATAAGTCATTTGTTGTTGGTCCATCATACAAAGAAATAACCTAACGATATTATTGTGTAAATGTTGCTTTTTTGCACAAATCATTATATTGATTATTGATTATTTAATTTCTTGTCTCTTTTCTTTTTTTTTTTTTTTTGTTGTTGTTTGGTCCCCCAACTTCACATTTACTTGTTTGTTTTCATCGGGCTTCCTGGCACGTTGGCGAACATATTCTATTTGCTCTGTAAATAAGTAGACGCTCTACGCACTGCATGTAATATATATACTGATGTAATCCATGAATTGTATCTTACCTATCTATATAAATTATTCTTATGAAATATATGCAACTAAAGTAACGAATACTTTGCCAATGTCTTCTTCTTATACCTATACGATTGCGAAAGAGTTGACGTCTTGATGTCTTGCGTCGTTTTGTAAAAACCAGGCTAATTGCAATCGAATCGTTAATGTTAACATGTAAACCAGTTCACTTCTGTTCGAATGTAATAAATTCAGGTATTTGACTAACTGGACTGCTTTTGAGCATCGGGATCCAGTTTTGCGAAGCTGTGAATTTGTTGGGGTGTTGAATTGCCTAGATTTATCGTTTAGCTTTAAGGCAATTGAAGTAAATGTTAGGCCAAATGCTCACTTCATTACTCCTATTAAATGATTTACTTATTGGAGATTAGAACTGATCGAAAATTAAGACTAGCTAAGGAATTCAGCACTCGCTACTGAGCCCTTCGGTTTGAGAGTCAATTTATACAAATTTTCAGAGCTCTACTAATCGAACGATGATTAGTTTCTACTAGACTTGATCAACGGCTGACCCGTTGTAAGAAAGATCATGCAATAACTGAATAAAGAGAAACCCGAATGACCAAAATTTCTTTTAAAAAATAAACTTCTTTCAAGGCTAATTTATTGGATAGATCACACCTCTTAAATTACAAATAAGAGCCTTTTATTACAATCGGCTGGAGCGCTTCAAAATCTCTTTCAATATTCCCTTTCCATATCATACTCATGATCAATTAATTAAAATTGATCATATTGTATGTTCTATTGGTATATGTATGTATATACATATATTCGTTCTCTTACTCTAAGCTTTAGCAAAGGCCTTGACCAATATACTTGCTGCTAGATGATTCTGAATTTTCGATTCTAAATATTTAACTATCCATAACTTTACTTCAAATACGTTTGCATATTTAGAAAAGACAGCTTAATGGGTTCTTTCCCCAAGTTTCGCTATAAAAGTAGTGAAATTTTAAGTTTCACTTAATTTAATTAGCTGGTATTAATGACACATTTCAAAGTCAAAACAATTATTTTTATACCCACTCTAAATGCTTTGAACTATCAACAACTTTATCTCCCGTTCAAGACACACATATAGCACTTGACTCGATAAGTAAAGTAATATATATATTACGTATATATGTATGTATATATATGTGCATACATATGTCGCGGCGATCCAGCAGCAGTGTCAGCAGTTCTATCAGGCTTTATGCCTGTACAGTGTAGACACAACAACAACAACAATAACAACAGACTTATGAAGAGCGCAACTTTAATATCTTGATTTTTTTTTTTTTTTTTTTTTTTTTTTTTTGTTTACCATGCACAAGCTAAATTGATTTATTTTAGTTTAGTTTTATTTATTTGCCTGCTTTCTACACCTGTACAATGAATTTAGTGTACCTGAGATCTGGAGTCTGTATCCAAGCAAGCTTAAAATAGTGTATATATCATGTATGTATAAAACTATGTATAATTATAGCATCTAAGTGTGATTTTAATTGTTGTTTCTCTAAGATTACATTAGTAAGATTAGTACTAAAAATGGAAATGAAAGGTATAGGGTTTTATATCATGATGTATATAAATAAATATTCCTGAAATATTCCATGTGTAAAAGGGGAATTTCCGAGATTGTAATCACCCTGTTTCTTGGTCTATAAGAGCAGTGTCAATAGTTATCAGTAAGGTTAATTATCAAAGCTGAACTGAAAGTGTACTTAAGTGATTTCCGATGGGTATATTCCATTTAAACATAGCTCCTAGAGTGCAGTTACATCCTAAAACGTAATACTCAACCAAGTTACATGAGTTCTTTAAGAACTTATCGCCAATCAGGTTATCAGTTACATATCTCGGACTTCTACAGACAGTTTGATGGTTTATTACAACATTTATTGGTGAGGCCTTGCTGGCCATTACAGTTCAATACACAAGAAGTTGGAGTTTTATTGGCAGACAGTGGCTGGCAGCGGGATCTGCTGGCGGAGCAGATAGCAGACGGTGGCCCGGAAGTTGCGCAGCGACTGGTCCTGCAGCTGCTGATTGAATACCTGTTGTGGGGGCCAGTGCGTAATCCAGAGTGAAAACCAGTTCAGAAAGAAGGAGACATTGCTGGCGCTCACTTACCCGATTGTAGACAATGGTGGGCACAAAGCTGGGCCGATACTGATTCGTGATGAGCTCCGCATCGAGCTGGAGCTTGGTGCCCGTCGGGGTCTTCATGCAATACTCCACGTCCGTGCGGATGTTGGCCTGGCTGGCACACTGAAAGTTGCGAATAGTGAAGGTCGCTAACTGGTTAAGCAAACTCCGTCGTTTGGTAAACTATCCGCGCATACGCACCTTATCGGCATTTGCATAATTCGCGGCAAACATTTGGCAAACGACGAATTTCACCTGCGCCGCCTGGTCGTTGCTGCTGCTGATGACGCAGCTCTGCAGACGATTCCCCTCGCACTCCGCCGGTCCGTGTTGGCAGTGGAAGATTGCGCCGTTTTTCTCAGACTGTCGAGAAGAGGATCGTATCAGCAGCTGCCTGTCTCTTCACCCTCATCCCACCATACTCACCGAAGACTTGCCGAATGGCACCAGCTCAATGTCAATGTAGTCTTTCAGCTCCTCGTGCACGGGAGCCAGCTGATGCATGAATTTCCTGCTGTCCGGGCACAGCGACTCATACAGCAGAGTAATGTGCAGCTAAAGAATGCAAAAGTCAAAGAAAGATTTTAAACGGAAATCAAATTTTCCACAACTACTCACCTTTTCAGCTTGCCGCTTTTCACGCGGAGTTTCTTCGGCCAGGCTGCAGCTGAGCACAGCAAAAATGCAGAAGGCTGTGATTAGCTTATTCATATTCACAAAATATACTCAGTTTTCTGTTCCGAAATGCAATATGCAAATGTATGTGAATATGTAATGCGTTTCGCCCAATCGATGAGAATCGACCTTCGATGCACTTTCAGAATCGAAAAGTCGTTGCGCCGCCTTCACCTTCGTATGCCTCGAGCCAAGCTTTTACGTCCGTTCAATTCGATTTCAGTTCTGCGACTGAACGGTTTGTCGATTTTTGGATTTAATTTGGACAACGACTGTGAACAGTTAAAATGGGACTCAATGAGCGTGCTCATTCTCTCTACGTCTCTCTCTATTTCTCTCTGACTTTTGCAAGCCGGTTTTTACATTTCTGTTTCAATTTCGGAACTCCAATATCAAATCATGCCGCACAGTTACAGCTTTAGGTGTTAACTGGGTAATGGACATGGGATCAGGTTCTTAATTTAATTCACAATGCGTATACTACTGTCCCCTCGAACTGTTAATTTCCGAAAGACGTTAAGCTCAAAGCCCAGAAAGTGACCGTTAATATGAACAAGTTCTTTTTAACCATTAACCCATTTCGTAGATGCTATGACAAGAGTTTGTCTTTAAATGATCAAATTATACAAAATACAGGGTATTTTGTATAATGGTTATAATAAATTAGTTCCATGCAGTAACAACACGCCAATTCCGAGCATGAACTCCGAAAGAAGTTATTTTATTTAATAAAATATACTAGTTCCTTTGCTCCAAGTTCGTTTAATACATTTTATTTGTGAATTCAGAAATGAAAAGGGTACATATGAAACCTATAATACCAGATAATAAATGAACAACTTTCTATACTTATTTATGATTGTTTTTCATTATTTTAGCTAAGTAGAAAAAAATATATATATATATTAATATGTCCGTAAAAACCCAAAGTCTAACAATCATCGGGTAATAAAAGATTCTTTTTAATCATTATGTTGCATAGAGTTTGGCTGACTTTCATTCGAGAAGACCGCTGCAGATTTACAGAAAATACCTGTATAAATGTATATAGAAATAAATATAGATATACACTCATAGAACTATTTACTAATGAATACTCACTCCATCGTATACAATGGCAGGTATTACGCTAAAGCTATATCGATTGGTTATAATCGAAGATTGGGTCTGCAGTTGATTCCCTCTGCCGCTTGGGCGCATGCAGCGCTCTACGTGATCCTCGATATTTAAGGCCCGAGCGCACGTGAAATTCTTTTTCACTGTCAGTTGAAGATCTTTCATTTGACACTCAAGAAATTTCATCTGATCGAATTGGTTCAAGTTGGAGTGAATCGCGCAGTCTTGCATTCGATTGCCCCAGCACTCAGAATCGCCATGCTGGCATGTATGACCAAACGGGGCTGAGCTAGACGGCTGAGCGTGAAAATTAATTAAATAATGGACATTTACCAAGATTTTTGTAACATTAACTTACTGAGGCCTTGCCATAGGGCACCAACGTTAGATTGATGCACTGATGGTATTTTCGGTAAACGGGCCAAAAGTTCTTGATATAACTTTGGCTATCAGGACAGAGGGACTCGTACAAAACAATCATTTCCAAAGGCTGATTAAAAAATTCCCATTTCAAATTTCTCAAAATAAATTTTTATCAAACTCACCTTTTTTGAACGCTGGCATATTTTGCCATTGCAGTGCAAAATGTGGAGCAGAGCTAGAGCAAGATATAATTTAAGCATGTGACTTGATATCAAAACAGCTAACAACTATCATGAAATGGAAATTTCAACTAGATTTTATTTTATGAATGATATGATTTATGAATTTAACTGATGCGCATTGCATATCAAATGAAATTAATTTCAAAATTGGCGTAACCGTCTTATATCAAGCAGCTTTTGATTGAGTGTAAACAGTGCTATACAACAAGCAAAGAAAACTCAAATTTGTTGCTTCACCCTTGCAAAAGAAAACACCGACCGACCGCCACAATCTGTCGATAGCCAACCATCCGATAAACGATAAGCATAATTTACATTAACATTTTATTCTGATTGGACCCAGCCTTTTCATTAACAAAACAAACTGCGAAAACAGCAAAAACATGAAGAAAAAGGTAAATAAATATCAAAAGTTGTATAAATGACTTTCGAATAGAAATTTAAAATGTTTATTGTATGCAAAACAGGTGCTACTTATGGGCAAGAGCGGCTCAGGGAAGACCAGTATGCGGTCCATCATTTTTGCCAACTACGTTGCCCGTGATACGACACGCCTGGGAGCAACAAGTAAATATGTACTCATACCGTATCACCCAAACTAGTAGCTTACTAAATAATCATTTGCAGTCGATGTGGAGCACTCTCATGTCCGATTTCTGGGCAACCTGGTTCTCAATCTGTGGGACTGTGGCGGCCAGGAAAGTTTCATGCAGCAATATTGTACGCAGCAGCCCGACAACATCTTCCGCAATGTTGAAGTTCTCATCTATGTATTCGATGTCGAGAGCCAGGAGCTGGAGCGGGATGTGCACTACTATCAAAGTTGCCTCGAAGCACTGCTTCACAACTCGCCAGATGCCAAGATATTTTGTCTAGTACACAAAATGGATTTGCTTGCCGAAGAACAGCGTGATCTTGTGTTTAAGGTACGCGAGGGAGATCTCATAGGTTTATCGAAACCAGGAAATGTGACGTGCTTTCGCACCAGCATTTGGGATGAAACACTGTACAAGTAAGTGAATATATAGATTCATGAAATATTAATGGCTAATCGACCTTTAATTTAATTCCACAGAGCTTGGTCGTCGATTGTTACGATGCTAATTCCCAATGTAGCAGCCCTGGAGAACTCGTTGACCCACTTTGCCAATGTGATTGAGGCGGACGAGGTGCTGCTGTTCGAGAAGGCAACCTTTTTGGTCATCTCACACTGTCAGAGCAAAAAAAATCGGGATTCGCATCGGTTCGAAAAGGTGTCGAACATCATTAAACAGTTTAAGCTGAGCTGCTCCAAGCTGGGGGCCAAGTTCCAATCAATGGAGGTGCGCAACAATGCGTTTGCCGCTTTCATCGATACCTTCACCAGCAACACGTACATCATGGTGGTCATGTCGGACCCCAATCTGCCCTCGGAAGCGACGCTTGTCAACATACGCAATGCCCGCAAGTACTTTGAGGAGCTGGAGAATCCGAATAACGTTGGCACGAATCATCACAACCACAAGTACCACTGATGGACTGTCGGATTGTGTGATTGTCGTTAAGTTTAATGTTTATCCATTTCTGTTACTGTTTGTTTTCCGTTACGAAAGCACACGGTTTATTGTTGCACAGCGAAAGTCTAAATGCTTCCCAAAACATGCATATACATATATATATATATATAGCGAGCGCCTTCTTGTTCAGCGAACGAGTATGAGCCTTGATATTTCCTACATTTATAAGAGCGCTTTATACACTAAACCATTAGGCCTTAAGTTGTATACAAGAACAAACACCAAACTATGTAAAAAACAAACATTTATAAATACAAATTTCTAACCATAAGACATATTCATATATACATATAAAGCCACATCTAATAACACGTATACATATGTATGTATGTATATCGAGTAACAAACAGGGAACAACTATGTATATAAGACCCAACATCGCGTTGCACATATCACAGACACATAAATCGAAGGCACTGCTGGCTGAGAATCGCATTGGCCGTCCTAGGAGTAGAAACGTCTCACCTCCGCAGAGAGCTGATCTACGCTAGACTCGTCCACGGCAACGAACCGCTTGGCTCCGCGACTAAAGTAGTAAATATCACCAGTATAAATATCGAACCACAGCGCGTGTATGTGCAGATTGTGGGATTCGAGGCGTGTTTTAAGAAATCCGTATGACGCAATATTCGACATCTGTTGCAACGTGTTAATCTGTGATAGCTTGTCCTCGACGGCAAACTTTTGCTCCTCGTCTATATAGGCGACGAAGCGGCGCAGCGGAGTCTCCGAGGAGAATATGAGAGGATCCTTCATGCCTGCATCGCGCCATTCCTGAAACTTTTCCAGGCTGGTATTGGCGTGCGTGCACATCCAGGAACGCAGCGGAGACAGTCGTCGATTTAGCTGGAATATTGAAAAGGAAATTCAGATATTCACTCGAATTCTCTGCGACAAGTTGAAGACAAGCTTACCTTGGACGCAAAGTCGGGATCCCGCAGTTGATACAATAGATTCATGGCCTTGCAATCGCTATGTCCACACACAATGATGTGCCTGATGTCATTCACGACACACCCCAACTCCAATGCCGCTGGCTCGCAGCTGAAGTACTCGTCCTGGAAGTGCTGAGCATGCGGTATCAGATTTCCCGCGTTTCGCACTAAACATGAGAACGAAGGCAGGTGTCAGAAATGATATTGGTTAAATTGCGATTCGATGTGTGTGTCGTACCCACCCACAAACATGTCGCCAACGTGTGTGTCCGTGTATCTCGTGGGTATCATGCGACTGTCCATGCAGGTGAAGAACACGGCCTTCGGCTGATAAGGGCAACGTTTAATATTAGAACAGATATCGAGCGCTCAGATTGGATAAAATATGTATATTTAGTAACGCAATTTGTGGTCAAGTTGTCAATGTGTCAATTTTTTTGAACATAAGCCAAAGTGCTTGATGGGATATGATGAAATTGTCAAAGTCAGTCTCTCTCTCTTTCTCATGGAGAACAATGTAAACATGCAGGGCATCGAAAACCTGATATACTTCAACAATTTGCCAGGTAACTTAAAGTGAACCTGAAAGCTTTTTCTTTGTTAATCTCTATATTAATTAATTAATTAACAAAATATTGTGGAAAAGTAAAAGCACTCATGTTAAACGTTTAAAAATAAAACACAAATAAATATTTTGCACTTGAGTAAACTCAACCGGTTAGCCTTTGTTGTTTGTTTACCAAAATCTGGACGATCTGAGAGCGAGAGCGGCTGATGCCTGTTCCCAGAGTGTAGGCTCTAGAAGACCCTCAAGCATACGCTGAGGCATTTTTGAAATGCCTTTTATGACACATGCACAGAGAGTGTGTGTGAGAGAGAGAGAGAGAGAGAGGCAAAGCAACAGCACGCGAGATAAGCGTGCTACGAGCTCCTCTCGAAGTGTCTGGAGTTCAGTTTGGATCGTCAAGCCATAAAGACTGTGATAATTGCCCACACAACTAACAACAACAAGAAATCGCATGCCGCACTAGTCGAAGTTATGCTTCAGTAAATGAGTATTTGGCTTAGCTAATTAGAAAACAGCTCGCTCAATGACAAATTAACAAATTCAGTGACCGCAAGGGCTTTGCGCGAGCTGTCGAAGGTGCAGCTACTCACCTCTGGATGGTCGCGAACTTTTTGAAATTCCTTGACCATTTGCTCTCGGGTCGTGTTGCGATAACGCATAATTCCTCTCAAAATGCGCTCCATGATGTGCGATTTATGCTAATTACGCCAACTAGTTGATAAGCAGTCCTAATTTTGGCACTATAATTAAATCCACTTGAATTTGATTTCACATGTGTTGCGCTCAACTGTTCGAGTCCAATTGGAATCGCGTCGCAGCACCAACCAAAACTGTCGGCGGAGCATTTGAAATCGAATTGTTGCTTCCAAAACACGCGACGACTGCGGCGAGAGAGCAGCGACTGTTGGCAATGTTGACAGTCCAGTTGGACTCTCAGAGAGCGTTCGCATGGCGAGTGGAAACTACGCTCACGACTTGAATGAGTGCTTAGGCTATCTATTCAGTGAAGGCCGTTTTTAATGTTCTTATATACATATATTATTA